AAGTTAAAATACAAACTGTTAAATCTTGTCCTATGACAGGAAGCTGTCATCATGATAATTGTTTAATAGTTAATAATAATTGGGTTCAAGAAATACATGAGTTAAGACCTTGGGAAAATTACACTGGATATAATCGTTGTACTGCTTCGTGCAGTTTCATATGGTGTAAATGTGGTTTGAATACGGGTTCTAGTTGTTTATTCTACCGAATTTACGTAGAACCTACAGACTCTGATATTTATGAAATTTTTACTTGTAAATGGATCCCGGTAATTGAAATTAAAATTGAAAAATTATTTATTGGAAATGAAACAAATGAAAAACAAGAATCTGTGTATAAATTACATCCAGGGAATATAGTTCGTGACTCTAATATTACCCTATCAGTTACTCAATTTTCGCTACCTCCAATGCCGGATATGGTTGGTAAATTTGTTACTAATAAAAAATTTGTTTCGCTAACGAATGAAATTTATTCAAACGTTTTTTGTAAAAATTATGAAAGTGCTTTGAAATTTAAATGTGAAATAAAAGAAGAAATTTGCCAAGAATGCCTACCTGATCACGATAATGAAAAAGTAGATTGTAAATGTAAAAATTTAGAATTGGAAAATCTAATTTTGAACACACCAAAGATTTTGCCAATTAAAACTCAAACGTTAAATCTTGATTTTGATAAAAATAATGTTTATTCAGAAATATTGGATATGCCTGTTGACCTTGTAATTAAAGTTAATAATTTTAGATTAATAACTTTAGATGATTGGAATAAATGTGTTTTAAAAATACATGAATTTGGAGGATGTTACAATTGCAGAACAGGCGCAGATTTAAATTACACGTGTACTACAGACCATGGAATTGCTTTAGCTGAGATAAATTGTGATAATCAATTAAGTTTCACAACCGAATGTAATGAAACCGGATTTAATATGATTAAGAGATTAAATTTTGATAGAGCTAAAATCAATTTAAAATGCAGGATTTCATGTTTGGGTGGTACTACGGAAATAGAATTAAAAAGTACATTATTTCTTATTGATATAAAGGAATTTCAAGATAATCGAAAATTAATTAAATCAAATGAAAACGCGAAAAATGAAGAAAAGGATATATATCTAAATTATTTTAAAAATATGTTTAGAAATTTATTTAATTCAGACTTGTTTAACTTCATTACTCAATTAAAAAACTTTCTTTTACTATGCTTTATGTTAGCAATAAGTCTTTTAATGATATTCATCTTGATAAAGTTAAAATGTCTCTTTAAATTATATAAATACATGTTGAAACTTTTGACTATTTATTATTTGATCTTTTTCACCATGGGAGGAACGACAAATGCGTTTAATTTTGAGAAAAATTGTTTAAAAAATTTTTCAAAAATAAATTTTACACAAAAAGAAGAGATAAAATTATATTTTGCCTTTTTTGATGAGGATGTTTTTGTCAATAATGAATCATTACAAAACTTTATATTTTTTAACATTGAATATAAAAGAAAAATTTTACCAGATAAAAATCATACGCTTAAAAATAAAAAAATATTATTTTTTACAAATATATTTTTTAAAATTAATGTTTTGTTTTTCAAAAATTATTTTTTATTCTTTAAATTTTCAGATCCAATTATTAAAATAATGGTTCCTAAAAGAGCTCCTGTAAAAGAAATACGTATAGATGAAAATGAAGAAGACAGTCTAAGTTCATCTGATAATTCTGAAGATAATAACAAAGAAGAATCAACAGATTTGGTTGAAAGTGAAGAGGATAGTCTAAGTTTGTCTGATAATTCTGAAGATAATAACAAAGAAGAAGAATTAAAAGAAATTGAGAATGAAAAATCAAAAATGGAAAAATTGAAAGAAGAAAAATTAAATGAAAATACTAAAGAAAAAATTAAAGAAAATGAAATTAAAATGAATAATTTTGAAATTACTAGTAAGTCTCAAAGTAAAATTAAAAAATTCAAAAAAAATTGCATTTTATGCAAATCTAACGGATTCACTGAAGAAATTTATTCTTCTCATATATCATCTAATAAAAACTGTCCTAGTAAAAATAAAGATAACTTGATACCTTCAATTGTGTCTTCTAAACCTGTAATTCCTTTACAAATTATAAAAAATAAAATTGAAAATGATAAAAATAAAATTAAGAAAATTAATTTAGAAAAGAATTTGGAACAAACTAAAAGTAAGGAAAAGGATTTAAAGATAATCAAACAAAAAGAAAAAGAAGTTTCGTTAAAAATAGCAAATACTGTTCTGAATAAAAGGAAAAATGAAGATGAAAAGGAAGGACTTGCTTTGCCTAAAATACCCAAGAAAGTTTTGCCTTTAAATGAAGATATTTTTTACAAAAGTCCAGTCATTGTGCATATTCCAGAAACTAGAGAAGAAAAAGCAATGCAAATACTAAAAGCAAAAAGAGCTAAATTATTAGAACAAAATTGTGAAAAAGAGAAAAAAGAAGATAATCGTGGCTCACATCATAGAGAAGTCGCTTTCTTATTCCGAATTCGTTCTTTAACTAGTGATTGCATCAATCTGTTACCCAAAACTGGATGCTGTTCTGTGAATGATAGGGCTTCTTTCTACTCTAAAATTGAATTAATACAAGAAAATATTAACAAAGTGGTCCAATTTGCTGCTAATTGGGACGAAGAAAATTCACATCTTTTAACTTCTTGTTCTAAATATTAAATTTTTTCTGAGTGGAATTCTTCACACTCTTTTTTTATCTTTTTAAATACTTAAAAAGAATTCCACTCAAATAACATTAAATTAAATTTAAATTTTATAAAATTTTATTAAAATGAAATTCTTCAAAAATATCTTTTTTCAAATTTAAATTTTAAAAGAATTTCATTTTTTTTGTCGCTCGGGAATGTCGTGAAAACGACCAATTGTATTTTTTTAAATTGTCTTCTCTTTATTTTGTCGTGTTCTATTTTAATATATTATTCATTTAGAACACGCCCTTTTTATATTTTTTAAAAATATATACATTTTTTACTTTTAGTCCGCCCTCTTTTTCCATTATTTAAATCGATAGTTTTTTTCACTTTCTTTAAGTTAAGTTTTAACTTCCTGATTCTTTTAAAATATTGTGTAATATTTTAAATGTTGAAATAAATTTGATTTTAAAGAAATTGATTTTGAAAAGAAAAGAGTAAAAAGATTAAAAATAAAAAATATTGTTTATTCATTGGAATAAACAAAAGAAAATTTAAATAAATAAATTTAAAGAAAAATATTAAAATTTATTTATTTTTTAACATTGTCCAGCAAAAACATTTAAATTGAAATTTATTTGTTTTTGCGACATAGTGTAAATAAAATGAAAATTTGAGGGTATCTAGATAGAAGTTTGAATTCTATCCTGATATAAATTTAATGTCATCCTATTCGGCAGAGGTCGGTTGGAAATGACGAAGGTGCCGGAAATCGGAACTATCGGAAATTGGAAAGGGCTTTCAAATTCGGAACTCGGAAATTCGGGACCGGAATTTGTTCCATGTCTAACATTGTTTGAACTAGAATGTAGAAAATAATTTTTTTTAATCTAGTAGAAGAATCTAACAATAAGTTACTAAGTATTTTGGATTTGTTTAGAAAATTTGTTTTAAAATTTTACAATATTAAGGTGATAAAGGAAAACAAGTAATGGAAGGTCCATCAAGAGGAAAAGGGAAAGAATCTGCTTCAAACCCTGAATTTCCTCAATTAAAATTTACTCTTGTTGAGTTATCCATTTTAGTGCAAATATTGCGTAATATTGAGCTTACAACAATTCTAGCTAATTCAAACAAGGGTTTGCCTGAAGTGATTGCAGATAACATGCGTCAATATTTTCCTGGATTTAATTATCTAGATTTATCTGATTCTCCTGCAGTGGCCAAAAGCACATTTAATAAAATTATGCAGGTAATTTGAACAGAAACGGAAAATTATTTTTTGTTAAGTTGATTGGTCTTTTTTATGGTCTAAGAGAAATATTAATAAATTTGAAAATCTGTTTACCGCAATATACTCAACGGTAAAGCTAGTGCTGGGCCAGGATGGTCTCGGGATGTTAGAAGGTTGCGTACGATGTTAATAGTCCCAAGAGGCGATGCCGGTGAGTATATTGCGGTGCGGGGGGTAGGCCTTTCTATGCGCTTGTATAATGCTGGTTGGTTACGAGACCGACCTGCCCGGGATAATATGTGATGAATAATAAGCGCTTAGCTTCTTCTGCATGTTATTATTTCTCAATTGAACAGCGAACAAGTCGACTGATCGCTTTTCCACTGTTTTCCGCTTAGGTTTATCCTAAGGCCTTATTTGTCATTCTCCTCCCCTTATTCAATCCTTTCCCAGCGGGACTAAAGTTCCTTTTTTCCATCCTTGTTCGGCCGGATCAAAGTTTAAAATAATTAATTGTTTTATTGAGAAGGAGTGCGGCTCACAATTATTATTCTAGGTAGTCGATTCGTGCTTACAAAATGCGTGCATTTAAAAAGTAAATTAGCGATTCAAAATTAGTTTAAATCTGCCGAGGGTTCTTAATTTCATAAGACAATGCCCCAACAATGCTTTACTACTCGTACCTGCACGGATTTGGTGTGTGCGAGACCGAGTAAATCATAAATTACCTAATTAATTTATACCTAATTAATCTCATTCATTTGAAAATTAATTCTTTATATGTATTGAAGGTTATTAATTACTACTATGTGCTGTTAAACGAAATAAAAATCCCTTCCCCACCGGATGCAGCTGCTGCAATTGACCTTATCAAAAAAAGAATGAAAGATATTGGTTTAACAATGGATAAAGATACATATTATCATTTGTTAACTGATCGGTTCAGTTTTAAGAAGGCTTTAAACAACATGATAAAAGAGAATCCAAATTTTACAAATGAATTGATGTGTGATCAAATTTTGCTAGATATAGGCAATAAAGGGTATTTAAATTAATTAATTTATATTCCATTTTGTATTTAGTCCAGCAATGATAGAAAAAATGCTAGCCTATTGTAAAATAATTAAAAATTCGGAAAAAAATATTTTCATTATTTGGCATTTATTTGCTTTTGCTAGAAAGACAATTCGCTCGTTTATATTGTTTTATGCAAAAAAGCCGGATGATTATGATAATATTTTGTTGAATATTTGGAAAGTTAATCAACAATATAATGACCAATTGTTGCAGTTTTGTTTTTATTTATTTAATTAATTTAAATTTAAAATTATGTAAATAGGGAGAATATTTCAATTCTAAGCTATTTTGAAGCTTATGATGAATTGGAAATTAAAGCAAATAATTGGATGGAAATATTAAAACAATTGAGTATATTCCAAAAAGAAAATGTTTATTTTAATTATAATGAAGTTGGATATAGTAAGCAAAAATTAGATAGATTAAAAAAATATTTTTTGAATTTTTAGTGAGGAGCAAAATGTTAATGTCTCTTCAAGAAGCAGAAAATAGTGAAGAAAACATAATATTTCCATCGTCTTTTAAGAAAGATACAATTGGGGATGTGCAAACACACTATCCTTTATTATATCGAAATTTTGGTAATTATTTTAAAATTATTGATAAGTTCAGCATTTTCTGTGGAATGCTAAATGAGCTGTGGAAATTCAGTTTCAATTAAATTCTGCGTACGCAGATTCTGTGGTGCCTGCAGATTCTGTGGACGAATTTAGAATTTCTGTGGTTCTGCGGTCTGCGTTGAGAATTTATCCGCAGAATCTGCAGACAATTGAACTAGGCCCCAGCTAGTACAAAAGTAATTCGGCGGCTGGGATTCGAACCAGCATCTTCAGCAAACCGGGCTGATATTCAGCAGACCGGGGGGATTCATTACACCACGTCGCCTACTGCATAGCCTTAGGAATTAAATAGCTACCTGAGCTCGGAAATTGGGATCTGGAAAGTTTGGTTCCTCTATTTTTCAAAATGTAGGGCTCCTACATTTTGTAATTTTGGTTACCAAATGAATTTTGGCTCAAAGTGAATAATAGAATATAGGTAGAATATCAGGTGAATGTTGACTTTGAGAGATTGAGAAATTATGTCAACAACAAAAGCATTATATCTTAAAATTTTAAGCAATTCACCAAGAGTTGACAGTCGATGAATGTCAAATAGTTCTCCAGAAATTTTCAAATACGGAACAAACATTTTACGAATTAGTTGAAAGCTTGACTAACGAAAATCTTTTGATTAAATTAAAACTTGAAAAATATGTTATTAACCCTCTTTTGGTTAATCAATTGCATGCAAATCAACATGAATATTTGCAAGAAAATACTGAACATCTCGGGTATGGTGTAATCAAACCGATTCAGAAGCATCATGAAATTGTTCAATTAGTAATTTTTTATTATTTAATTAAAAATTAAAAAATTATTTTTAGATTCGAGACCTTTGCGGTATTCCTCAAGGGAATAATTGAAGAAAATTTAGATAGAAAATTTGGGAAACCACAATTCTTTTTTCTAAATTTATCCTTTATTTATTTGTAGGGATGGGAAAAATATGCAAATTCATGCTTTGTTTCGTGATACCTTTGAGAGATAAACTCGAAAATGTTGATCAAAACTCTCAAGAACAAAGCTTTAAATACATGTTTTTGCATATTTCTGACACATAATTTGTTATTTTTAGAAAAAAATTTTTGGTACTCTCCGGTTATCTCCCCACATGTGCTCAAATGCGCGTGTCCGCAATTTGCGGGCATGTGGGGAGATAACCGAGGAGTACCTAATTTTATTTAAAAATATACATATTTTGGGAAGATATGTATATAGTAAATATTCAAAATTATTTTCAAAAAATTTTTGGATTTATTATCATTTTCGGTGAATCTATGATTTTGACCCTTTTTTTCTTTTTTAAAAATTCCCCTATATTTGTCTCTATCTTTTATCAAAAAGGGAAAATAATTAAATATCTGACAAAAAATTAAATTAGAGGTACACATCAGGGATGTCACGGGTTACCCGAAACCCGATACCCGAAACCCGAAACCCGGCCTTTTTTTCGACCCGATACCCGAAACCCGATCCGAGAAATTTTCTAAAACCCGACCCGAAACCCGACCCGAGAATTTTTATTTTTCAAAACCCGACCCGAAACCCGACCCGAGTTTTCTCAAAATTTTCGCCCACGTCGCAGAAAAAGGGAAGATTTTTAGCTTAATGATCTTCCAAAATTCTGAAAATTTTCGCCTGCGGCGCTGAAAAAGGAACAAATCTGGCTTCGGACCTTCAAGAATTCTCAAAATTTTCGCCTGCGGCGCTGAGAAGGGAAGATTTTTGGCTTTTTAGCCTTCCAAAATTCTCAAAATTTTGGCTTTTTTTCGACCCGAAACCCGAAACCCGATCCGAAGAAAATTAATAAAACCCGATCCGAAACCCGACCCGACATTTTTCTCAACCCGAAACCCGAAACCCGATCCGAGAAAAATTTTGGAAACCCGACCCGAAACCCGACCCGACATTTTTCTCAACCCGTGACATCCCTGGTACACATATAACAGATTTTTTATTTCGGTCTTTTAACGCGGAACAACAAAACGCGGTCTTACTAAAACACGGAACGCCCATAAGCCCTAAATCATTATGTTTTTATCTGTAATTTAAATTTATTTTTCCTTTTGATGAATTTGAAACACTTCCCCCACTAAATTAAACATTTCCCCTCCTTATAAAAACATCCAGTATATTACTGGAATTTAAGGTTTCAATAAGGCCGATTTAGCGGTCTTGGTAGGAAACACTAATTTATTTTTTAAACAATTCCCCCGTTATTTATTTGTTATTTTTTTAAATTGGTTATAAAAACTTCTGTCTCTTTATTTATTTTAAATGGGTATTTTACAACAATTTACATAAGATTAGGACAATAAGGTGTTTTCCGAATGGTCAAGGAATTTGAGAAAAAAACGCAAAATTAATGTAAGATGTTAGTTAGCGATTATCTGGCGGATCTGATCCAACAAGGCCTTCAGGGCAATCTTGATTCTTTAGGCACGACCCCCACTCTTTTTTTGTTTAAAACCCCGTACCCGACCTAATTTTGCTCCGATTATGGCAAAGAAGACTGGAAAAAAGATTTCCCTACAAAAAATTTTGTTTGGGATTCAAGTTACAAAAATGTAGAAGCTATGGAAATATATACAGAATTGGAATGGCCAAACGTTTATCTTTATGTAACAAACAAAACTGAGCGTTTTGATTCCAAGAAAGTTGATGAATGGATTAAAAATATAAACAAAACTTTATGAAAAAGCTCAAATCAGGCTTAATTTTTTTGTTGTTTTTTGTTTAATAAAATTTCTAATTATCAGAAACGCTTTATCTATAATATTTTCATAAGAACAACTCAATTAATCTTATTATCTAAACAGTAACCAGTCTTATTATCTTTGTTGCTTTTTCAAATTTTTAAAAATCAAATTGTAAAGGCGATGCTGATCACGTCTATAATGTTTATTTCCCGATAAAAGAACCCCTAGCCCAAAAATTGTCATAGGCTCATAATTTTCAAACTTCAATTTTTTATTTTATTTAAATTATTTTGATGGAATAAGTTTTTTATTCATGTTATGTATGATTTCTTCAAGCCAACGATCAAATAAACAACAGAGAATAAAAGATTAGAATTCAAATATTAGTGCATTAAGAGTGCTAATTCTTATATACATATCATTTGAACGTTATAAGCCTATGATATTTCTGGGCTAGTGGTCCTTACATCGTGGAAAAACATTACAGACGTGATCAGCACTTTTTTGAGCATTAATGTATTGAGTGTGGCAGAACGGAAAAGTAAAATATTTTTTTGAGAAATTAAAAATTTTGCAGGGGTGATGTTTTTCTTTATATGAGCACTGACAAATAAGTGCATGTCAACAACGGATTTAAATAAATTAAAGTTTCTTAATCAAATCAAACAAGAGAAATATAAAAAATCAACGATCACTTTAGTATTTTGCTTTAAAAACAAAAATTAAATTCATTTTGTTTTGAATTTACTTTTAATTTTTCCTTAACTAATCTTCTACTTTTATTTTTTTACTTTTAATTTTTTGATTTTGTGAATAAAGAAATTATTCTTTTTATCCATTAGCAATCAGTCCCCTTCCATATCGTTCCATATGTCATTTTTACACTACTTTTCTATTCTTACAACTTGATTTTTCCCGCTTCTTGGAACCTAAAACAATAAAAAGCGAGATCCTGGAAATAAAGAATTTAATAGAATATTTTCAAGAAAGTTACTTAAAAATCAGGGTCTCGGTTAATTTGAGGAAATTTTTATAATATATTTATAAACATCAAAAGAGGGGGCATAATATCCAGAAAATAATAGAAAATATCTGACCTGCTCATGGATACAGATAATATCAAAATGCCTGCGGATATCCGCCGTAAATATCCGGATATGGATACCAAAATCAGTATCCATGTCAAATGGGAGTTAAGAAATTACTTGAAATTTTCTTAAATTTATACATGTACGTTAGAAATGCTTTTATTTCATAAATTATTTTAATTAAAGATGCGTTTAAACACAAAAAATATTTTTATTATTTCTTTATCCATTTTAAACGTAATTCTTTTCTTCATAAATTTTTGGTATTATCACAGAACTAATTTAGGAAAATATTCAAAAATTAATTATGCTACAGGGTAATTTTCGAAAAATATTTCTTTAGATTAAAAAAAATTAATTTAGAATCAAGCCATTAATTGTTGATTTTGACTGTTTAGAAAATCAAAATAAGGGTAAAGACTGTACATATCCAATAGCTGTAGCTATACCTGACGGATATCCACAAATGTCAAATGAATTTATTGAAATTAAATTTACTTTGGATATCTCTGAAAATAGTAGAGATTTTTGGCTTTTTAAAAATGTTGACGATTCTACAGATATAATTGCAACAAGAAGGTGTAATATTTAAATTATGTTTGTGGAGTCAAATTAAGTATTTGTTTTATAAATCATTCGGATGAGAATATTATCGTGTCAGGCTAACTTGAGGAACAGACAGCCAGCGACAAATCACGGTCGGACATGTTAAGTTCCTACCAACTATAATTTAAAGTGATTTTCAATATTTGCCGGGTTAACAAACTTGAAAACTCAAATAATTCTCCATGTAAAAAGTTTGAGAATTTATCGAGTAATAAATATTTGATCTTTGTGGTATAAATTTTGATATAAATTTTCTTTAAGGTTTAATCGTACTCAATCAAGTATAGAAAATGTTGAAATGCCTGCTGATTGGAAAGCTTTTAAAAGAGATTGGAAAAACGGAAAGTATTTAGAATGTACACCTCTACTTGAAAGACCCAAAAATACGAGTAGAAAAATTCCTATAAAGTTTTTGGACAGACTTGTTGAATTCTCTAATTTATTGGACAAACTTAATGCAACAGCTTTTCTTATGGGTGGAACTTTGCTTGGTAATAATTTATCTGTTAATTCAAATTTAAAATCACGCTTTTCGGTTTTGAGCTTTAGTTAAATATCCGTTTTATTTTGGGGAGGGGGTTTTAAAAATGCGAGAGGTTAATTTTTAAGCAATAAATAAATATCACTTTTTTCTGTTCTGAACCGGTCGCCAACAACCTAATGATCATTTCTCGAGTTGCCATTTCTTGAGATAATACTTTCACTTGCCAACTTCTGTAAAATATATACATATTTATTTATTAAATTAAAGGTTGGGCAAGAGAATGTTCTTTAATTCCGCACACTACTGATACAGATTTTGGAATGTTCAGTGATGAACACTCTGAGTTTATATTTTTTATTTTTACAAAATTCTTGGAATATTTAAATTTTTATGTAATTTTATTTTGAGAAAATAATTGGGACTTTCTAATTTGCAATAAAAAAATTAATTTAAAAATATATTTTAATTTTAAAAGATTCATATTTTTTAGATCTCTTCTACGTGAAATACTCACCTCAAAAATCTTTGAAATTTTTTTGGTATTGGGCCGATTAAAAAATTCTTTCGAATTATGTGTTTTTGCGGATGGAATAAGAATTGATCTTTTTTATGTCTATAAAACAGAAAATTCAACAGAAAACTCGTCAATTAGTGGAATGCGTACGGAGTTAAACCTAAAACAGCGTATGCGCTGGGTTTATCCAAAATTGTCTGGGGAAATTTGTGCTGTAGAAATGCATGGAAGACTTTTGCATGTTTTGTGTGATTATTATAAAATTGTTGAGGTAAACATGGTAAATTAATTACCCATTGTTTTCAAATTCCCTTCCAAAAATTGGTAAATCAACCATGGATTGGTTAAGATACACAACCCACCCCATTTTCAACTCGAAACCTGACCGAAGAAAATTTTAAAACCCCTACCCGACTTTTTTCACAACCTACCTCATCCCTGATACCAACTTTGCAAACAAACGAAACACGATTATACTTTCATTTGCCACCCTTTGTGAAGTATTATTCACACATATGTAAAAAAGGATTGCGAACGATAAGATTTTGATTAATAAAATTTAAAGAACATCAATTTTTTGTCTCTAGTAATATTTAATTACCTTCTTGTTATAGAGGGAGATTGCGTAAATCTTTAATGTTTTTACAATAATAGTTTTATTTTTAAAGTCTGAATATGGCAAAGAAGGATGGAAAAAAGATCATCCCACAGACAATTTTGTTTGGGATAAAAGTCATAAAAACGTCGAATCTATGGAAAAATATCCAGAAAAAGAATGGCCAAACGTTTATCTTTCTGTTGAAGACAAAAATGATCGTTTTGATTCTAAGAAAGTTGATGGATGGATTAGCAATATAAACAAAACTTTATAAAAAATTTTCTCGGTTTTCACAAAATATTAGTGCGCAGTCCGAATTTTTGGAGCCGAATTCCAACTCATTTTTTCTGGACGCAATAATTCAGAAAAATCCGTTTCAGTTTTCGGTAACTTACAAACCGAAACGATTTTACCGGTTTTTAAAAATGTTTTTAAAAACTGAAACGGTATTAGTTACAAATTAAAACCGTTCGCTTTTAGTTACAATTTTTCTATGATGGCCAACTTATTTCCGTTACCTCACATTTTTTTCTTTTTGTCGGTGTTTATCAAAATAAATATACCTAAAACCTTTTTGTGAGAGTACAAAAAATATTTTAAGTTTATCATTCAAATTCCAAAACTTTAACCGTCCATAGAAAGAGTCTTTATTTTTGTTCCTCGTTTTGTTTATCGATAACACACAAAACAAATTGAAAAATTAATTAGGTACATTAAATCAAAATTTTTAAATTTTTTTGAAATAAATTTTAGAACACTTTATATTAAAAACAAACAAAAACTGGTTATTTGTTTAAAAATTTTATTAGATTAAAAATATTTATTAGTAAATAACTAATAAATAAAATTAATCTCTTTATTTTAAATTTTTTTAATTGAATTGAATACTCTTGAATTTTTCAATTGTGAAATAAAATAATAAAAAATTTATTTCTAGAAATACATATTTCAATGTTCTTGCAAATATTTTTATTATTTATTTTTGTTAATCCAATTATCCTTGCCTCGCCTACCGTTGAACAATGTGACGTTGTCATGAAATCAGAGAATAGATATATACCTGCAGAATGCAAGTAAATGTTTTTGATAAGTAGGGAAATCCCATGATAGCCAACTCCTAAACCGATATAACTCCGGATCCTCAAACCTCACTAACAATCTTTTTTACTCTATTAAAATTATATTAATGCCCCAAATTTCTTTACCAAACAGAGTTGATATCAAATAACAAATTATTTAAAAAACTTTTGTTTTATAAAATTTCGAAAATAGCTCATTGAAAGGAAAAAAAGCTGACAGACGATGATATTTTTAAATATTTATTGCTAGCATATTATGAGCTTACAAAAAAATTTCCAAAAAATTATTTCAAAATTTTATTTATCAATTTAAGATGTTTTCAAGATTTCGCTTCATGTCTCTTCTCAAATATAATTTATGGAAAATGTACAAAAGAAACGATGGCTTCAAAAAATTATTTTGAAAGGCCATGTAAAGAAATTTATTCCCAATGTTCTTTAAAGAAAAATGAATGTGAAATTAATGTTTGTGGATGTTTTAAGTATTTAAATTTGGATTTTTATATTTTTTAAAAAATTTAGAACGATGGTTGATTGTATATTACAAAATAAGTGTAAACCGGTCACTAATAGTGCAAAATTGAGTGATTTACCTACAACTAATAAACGTAAATTAAGAAGAGATTCCAAAGAATATTTATTTTTTAGATATTCGATCATCCAATAATGCTGTTGGTTTAAACGAGTTTTTTGGAAAATTTCTTGCAGATGAAAGTGCAACTAATTTAAGAAATGAATAATGAAGATTATAAAAATTTTAAATTAACTAAAAATTGAAAATCCAAAAATATTGAAAAAATTAGATACATTTTTACAAAATTACCTATTCACTCGATTAATTACTGACACTCGATTAACTCCCCATGCCAGGGATGGGGTGAAACAATAATTCCCCACCTCCAAAATATTCTACAGCACGTTCATATCAGAGGTGAATCGGAAATGACGAAGGTGCCGGTGTCGGAAATCTGAACTGTCGGAAATCGGAAATGACTCAAAAGTCGGAAATCAGCCTAAATTTTCGGAAGTCGAAAATGCCACATGAAAAAATGTCAACCAGTAACTTTTCTTCCAAATTTGAAACGAAATTTGCAAAGGGGAGAGTTATTTTGCATTTTTGGATTCGGGATATTAGAGAGGCAAATTTGAAGGGATTATAAATGATATTGTATGAGTTGGGTGATAGAGAGGATATATGGGAATATGGTGGATTACGATGATATTTCGAGATTATCTTAAAGATTAAAGAAGTCTTGAATGAAAATAAATAAAACATTCGAAAAAATATTTTCTCTTTCGATCTCTGTAAAAGGGAAATGGGTAATAAAAAATAAAATAGGATTCCAATTAATTATTCTGTAGTCTAATCAAAAAAACATTTTTATTTTCGCATCGGTTTCAGCATAATACAGATTTTAAAGGTTATTGAAAAATAGTAAAGAATGCATAAGGAACTAAGACCAACAAAATTCAAAAAAAAAATTAAAGTAGATCAAAATATTTATTTATAAATTGCAAAATAAATTAAGAAAATTTTCTTTTTATTTAAGGACTTAAAAAAGTCAATCAAGTACCGGAAGTCGATGGACCGGCCGCATCTTCCGAATCTTCTTCCGTTTGCACATTCTTCTTCTTAATTCCCCCTTTCTTCTTTTTCGAAGCTTCAGTCCCTACACCAAATCCTTTTGAGATTAGAACATTTTGCAACCTCGAACGTTTTTTTAGACGGACCATTCGTTCGTTTATTCTTCTACGAATATCCAACTTAACATTAGTTTTATGTTCTTCACTTTGTTCACCAGTCACATTCAGATCTGAATTTAAATTTTTTATTAAAAACTTTTGAATCTAATATTTATAAAAATATGGAAGCTTCCCCTCCCTCCTCCCATGAATAGTCCCTCCCTAAATTTGTGGTAAATAAATTACTAGGAAATTGTTGCTCCGGACGACTCAAAACAGAAACAATAAATCCATCTTGCGTCAACTGTTGTTGGAGAAATTGCTTTGCCTCCTCCTTTGTCATTTTATTGATAAATTCTTCACTTATTAAACTATTATGCTTGTTTCTCAATTTTAAAATTTTGTCTTTTATCTCCTTGTCAGCCTGTAAAAATGAGTAAATTAAAAATAAGGGTTAATGTCATTTAAAAAATTATAAACAATTAATTAATCCTTTTCAGTTATCCGTTCACTATTTACTTCACCCATTCTTTCTCTTTTTTCCAAAATTATGTAGGCGATACAAAAACAGCAGAAACGGAGCAAAAATATTTTTAAAACGGAGCAAAAATATTTTTATTCTAAACTCCTCTAGGATATAAATCTATTTTTAAATCGTCAAAAAGTCGAGACCATAAATCTGCTAAAAAACAAGAACCGAAAACCCAAAAAATCTAAAGTCAGGACTAACATCAAGAATCTCAGAATTAGTCCTATTTGCTTGAATTTTAATATTTTGTAGAATGGGAGAGGAAAAATGGGAAAAAAACTATGTGAGCGGATAACCGAAATTATTCAGATACCGTATTTTCTCGATTAATTCACCTGGTGAATTAATATTTCAACCCATATGTGTGTTGGGAATTATTCGATAGAGGGGAATTATTCGAGTTTTTGCATTTGAACGTGCAGTGGGGTATTTAGGGGTGGGGAATTATTGTTTCAACCCAACTCTAGCATGGGGAATTAATCGAGAGGGGGAGGGGGGTTAATCGAGGGGGGAATTAATCGTGAGGGGGAATTATTCGAGGGAGGGGAATTAATCAAGAAAATACGTTATTTATGAATGTATTTACCTCTAATGGAATTTGTTTCGACATTTTTTTAATTTTAGAAAAATATAAAAATAGTATTTTAAATTAAATCCACTAAAATAAAATTTAAAAAAGATAAGCTAAATATTGTTTTTGTGAGATTTTGCTACAAAATACAAAAAAATCAAAAATAATGGATAGGAACAAAAAGTTGCCCGAAATTTTCCTTACACAAAAATAGGAAAAATATTTGGAAAACATGCTAATGTTAAGTAGACTAAATATTGAATATCACATTGTTAAATTTAAGATCGAATCAGAAAATCGGAAAAATATTTTTCATGGTTTGTTAAGAAATTAGTATCTTAAAAATTTTTATTTTTTTTTAAAAATTTTGGATGTTAAGGATAGGTAATAGACAGGATTGAAAATACAAATGAATTTATGTTTGATGTTGGGAGTGTAACATTTTCATTTTCGAACATTTTCATCTTCTTGCGTTCCTTCTCATTTGCTTTTAGCAACACAACCATTTAAAAAGGATTATTTTTAAAATTAAATGGGAAATACTAAAAATGGGTATATTGGGAAAAAGGGGTATATAACCTTTTCTATTTATGTATTTTCAAATTTATTTTTCAAATAACCCATCAAGAATTTAAAGTAGAAATCAGAAATGTTTCAAAATTTCGAGTTTATAACTTTTTATTTCTGAAATTTGGCAAAATTTATTTACATTATCGAGGTGATCTAAGGCATTTTTTGCGCCGCAGGCGAAAATTTTGCGAATTTTAGATGGCCGTAGGTAAAAAATTCATTTTTAGCCCAATCCCTTCCCCAATTTCATTTACAATCAAAAAATTGATTTAAAAAAGTACAATACTTTTAAAAAAGTACGAATCCGAGCCCTGATCTAAGGCGTCTCAACTTTGAAAATTTTTTTGTCAAATATTTCTATTTTCTTTTCGATTTTTGTTTCGAAATGATGGAGGGGCCGCAATAACTTTCTTAAGAGAAAAATAAGTAATAAATTTTGAATATAATGGGTGATAATTTTGGATATTTTAGTCTTCAAGTGTTTAGAAGGTAAAAATACATAGGTATAAGATACTTAGGAAACAATATTTTGATACATAGTGTATTTTGTAGCAAAATTGGAAATTTTAGTGTGTTTGTTCCACAACTTAGGTAGCTCCTTGTCTAATTAATCGCTAATTTGACATACCGTAAATATCCTAATATAAGCCCTTGGATTATATTTTTCAATACCCCTCATCGGGTGGGCTTATAATAGGGCATTGGCTTCTATTAGGGCATGGGCTTCTATTAGGACTGGGCTTCTATTAGAATATTTACGGGATATTTCGGTGCAGTTATAACCGGGTTGAGCTGCATTTATATAATACAAAGGAAAAATTCCTTACCTTAATTTTTTTAAAAATTTCTCCAACAGACAAATAGACAATACTCGAAGAAGCTAATAAATTTTTAGCATAATTGTACCAATATTTTATAAGTTGACTTTTTGTTGTTTTGTTTAAACAAGAAGGAAAAATTGTTGGACTTAAATTATAAATGTTTGCCATATATTTTTATATTAAAAGTTATTTTATAGTTACTCATAAATTTAGTATTCCGAATCAGTCGAATATTTTTCTAAATTGTTTTTGAGGGCCTTATTTTTAATAAAAAACCAAGATGGAAAATAAATGAGAGATCTTGATAGAAATGTCAGACTTTGAGTAAATTATGGGGTAATAACGCGATTTAAAGGTTTTTCTATCTTCAGAGAATTTTTACAATGTAAAAATCATCCGACTACATATAGCTTTTACCTTGTTTGTAATCCATTAAAAAATAAATTACATGTTGCTTTAAATATGTTAAAAAGCAACTCAAGAGGCAAAGATTTTGGATGCTTCATGATTTTATTATTTTTTTCTGTTGTTTTTGTTGATTGTAAAACAAAACATATACTGCCATTAACAATACTAATTATTTATAGATTTTCTAGGTTTCATTTTTTATTTATAATCATTAGAGTTCGTAAAGTTCGATTCAGATGACCGGTTCAATTTGGGAACTTTTACAGGCCTTTTATTTTTTGATTGTTAAGTATTTTTTATACTGATAGATAATATAGATCCGTATCTGCAGAATATATTTTTTCACAGGATCAAAATGATTAGACATGTACCTAAAAGATACACCGTATATCCTTTGATAACTACTCTTGGTACTTATTGTTTTGGCCTTCCTCTGAAGGGAGTAACTAATCAAGGGAGGGTAATTATACAAATTTAAAATTTGATTGTGATTTAGGGTATTTGTTTGGGGGTAATTATTTTTTCAATCTATCACTGGCTGGAGTATGGGAAGTGGGGTATTTATTTGAGGGAGGGCAATTAATACAGGTTATACGGTAGTCGGATAAATATCAAAAATCATTATTGTCTGAATTTAAAAATTATAATTAGAGATGACCAATATCAGAAAGTTTTGGTCTTTTAATTTTATTCAACTTCAAATTAAACAAAAAATATCACCAACACCGAATAGTTAGCATTGTTAAGACAACATTGTTTTAAGATTAATTTTCTTTGGGAATAAATTGGAAAATCTAAAATATATTTAAATCTTTAATTTATTTAAATTTAAAATTTTAATTTTTTGGTAAATTCAAATTTAGGGCAATTCATTAACAGAATTTTTGTTTATTGCACAAAAAAACATATGAAATAAATCGATGAAACTGCTTTAGTTTAAGAAATGTTTCTAGTTTGTTTAATAAATTTTCTAGTTAATGTAGAAAAATACTGTATTAATATGGTTGAACAAACATGAAATTAGTGCTGATATAAGGTACATGGATATAGAAAATCGAAAAAAAATTTTCGTAACCAGAAATTAAACTTAAAAATCCACAATTTGGAGAAATTCGAATTTATTAAAAAAGAAATAATAAAAAGTATGCTTGGACAATCACAATCACTTTATTTTCCACTTATTTAAATCCTAGTTTTAAATCACTATCTGATCAAGTCAGGATGATAATTTGACAGTTAAGAGTTTAGGCCTGTGTTAAAAGTTCACAGAACATTTACTCAATCATTAAATAATAATGCAACGATCATAATGTAATTCACCAAATTTTAAAATCTCTTTATTATTTTTTAAATTAAAAAATAACCAAGTTTTGATTTCCACCTTATTATTTTTTTAAACAGACAATTTTTTGTTTAAATACAAACTTTGTTTAACAAAAGATCTAAAAATTTTATAATACATATATAAGTATAGGTAATTTACGTAAATAATTCATTAAGTTTACATTTTTTTGATTTATATTCATTCAAAACTCATTTTAGTTTCCCCCTTCGGAATGTGAAATTCTATTATATAATAAGGGATAACATAAAAATGAGGTATCTCTTAGACATTTCAAACGCTAATGGAACAAATAAGTTTTAGAGAATGTATTTTAAACTGATGTGTTATAATTCTGTGGATGCAGAGTTAGGTCGGAATTCCGATTTCCGACGGTTTTTTCCTTCCGAGTTCCGAAAAAAATTTCTATTTACGAGTTCCGATGTTTGAGTCAGTTCCGATTTCCACCTCTTCCGATTTCCGTCACCTCTGACTGTTCCGACCCGCCTCTGCGTGTATCTACGAATGAGATTCTACTCCACATAATTATAATTTTTCTAAAATTTTAATTTTTTAGAAAAACAATGTTTATGTTAACAATATTTTTGTTTACTTATCTTATATCACTTTGTGATTCATCAACGGTCGATGTAGTGAAATGTAAACAAGTATTTGGATCAGATGAAAAATTCAGATATGGCTGCGAGTAGATCAAATATATTGAATATATATTAAATAATATTTATTTTAAAAAAGGTGTTTTAAAGACCTCAGAGCTTGCAAAAATTCTCTAATAGCTTCACAAACATGTCCTAAGGATGCAACGCCTGATAATGTATTTAAAAACAAAACAAATTGTGAAATGATCTATTCTGAATGTTCTACTGCCGAAGAAAATAGTTGTAAAGCTGGAATGTGTGAATGCTTTGAGTAAAAAAAATTTTTTAAAGGAGAGGTCCATATCCCCTCCAAATCGTTCTTAGTATAACCTAGAGTTGCACCCCGACCCCGTACCCCGAACCCCGACCCCCGTTCCCGAAAGATTTTTCCAAAATTTCCCCGACCCGAACCCCGCCCCGAAAAAAATGAAAACCCCGTCCCCCGACCCGAAAAAGTTTCGGGGTTTTCGGGGTATACACCCCTAAAAACGTCATTTTTAAGGAGAATTTAAAGAGAAAAATTTTAGAAACTTCCTCCCAATTTGCTTTGCCTTTATTATTTTTGTAAGAAAATTGAATGAAATATCAATATTGTATTTCCATATTAACTAACCGACTTGTGGTTGAGTGGTTTAGTTGTTGGTTTTGTCTATATTTCTATTCATACAGGGTTCGGATCCAAATAGGGAAACCTGTTTGTGTTGTTATTTTTCTTTACAAAAACAAGCGTTAAATTTTAATTTTAAAAGTTTAATTCTATTTTAGAATATTATCAACCATAAATTTTTAGTTTAGTCTAAAAATTCTAAAATTTTCGTCTGTGGCTCTAAAAAAGGAAGATTCTAGCTTTTTTGCCTTCAAAAATTCTCACAATCCTCGCCTGCGGCGCTGAACAGGAAGAATCTCTCAACTCCTCCCTATTCCTTCAATATCCTTCTAAATAACTGGTATCCCTTGAACCACCCTTAATCCTTCGAAACCCTTATATCAGCAGATAAGTCAGTTAATCTCTTCAAATCTTCCATAATCCGCCCAAATTTATTTAGTTACTCTTGTGTTATCTCCCCCATTTTATTCTTCTTCCCCTTTTATTTCTCAAAAAAGTACACATGGGTCAAATTTAATCTATGTCGTGAGTTACCATGTTTTGAAATTAGAGATCCATTCCAAACGTTGGTCTGTGTACTGTACTTCTATTTACTATACGCTCACTGTATTACCAGAATATTTTAAGGGAATAGAGAGCCCTATTCATCTAGAGTTAGCATAATAATGGGCATTGGTCCTTAAAGAACCGGAGCTTGGTACCTATCGCTATAATTCTAACAATATGTCAATCAAATTCATCTTGCATCCCTAGATATACCATTTAATCCCTAAAATCCCACTTAATCCCTTCAGATCCGCTTATATCCCCAAATATACTCTTTAATCCCTTCAAATCCAATTTAAAGTCTCAAAATCCTACTTAATTTTTGAAAAAATTAACGAAAATAGACCAAAACTAATTATTTTTTAACATTTTTTTCTCTAAAAAATTTTTTACAAAACCCCCGTACCCCGACCCGAACCCCGACCATATTTTGGTCCCCCGACCCGTACCCCGCCCCGAAACAATTCGAAAACCCCGTACCCCGACATACCCGCCCCCGAGCGTTCGGGGTGCAACCCTAGTATAACCATGCTCTTCAAATACCCTTGTAATCCTTTTTTAGGTTGCTCTACCAGTGTATGGAAGAGCTGTTTAAATTTCTCTACTAGACACTCGATTTTATATACATACATTACCATCCCATTATTGTGGAAAAATAATTTTCATCCCATCATCCATATTAAATTAGATCCGACTTTACAATTTGTACTTTAAGAAATTTGAGTTGGTCTAGCATGAGATTTTTTAAAAAATTCCTGGACCTGGTATAAGTTTTGGGGAAAGTTGGGAAATAAAACACAAGAAAAATCTTTAATTAATAAATTAAGAACAATGATTGACTGTTTTTCTCAACATAAATGTCTATCAAATCTTTCAGGAACAAATAAAAGTGAGAAATTAAATTTTCTTTTTAAAAACAAAAAAAAATTTTAAGAAGCTCGTTCAATTGGAATTGCTGCTGTTTTAGTGGAGCTATTGAAGAAAATTTTAATGAAAATCCTATTGAATTGAAAGAAGACGATTAGACTTTCACTGTCCATACCTTTTAGTGAATAATTTACAAAATACTAAGAAAATTAAGAAAATCTTTATTTAGATTTAACGTGTATTTAGTTAGCCGTATTTTTGTAGTTTAGCCGTATTTTCTGTACTATATTTTCTGTACTAATAATTTTCTTTTATGTTTTTCCTGTAATTGATCAAAAATAGTTTTTCTATTTTCATAAAAAATTTTAAATTTGTTTTTAATTATCAGCTATAACAAATTTTGCACTTTTAAGTAGTTAATTCACTATTTTTTTTTTCTAAATTTGTTTAATTTTTAGACAATCAAAAAATTTATTATAGTTTAATACCGATAAAATATTTAATGTTTAATTATTTTAAAAATTAAAATATTTTTTATATTACCTTAAACTTACTCGAAGGCCCAAAATTTTCATAGTAAACAAATTAAATTATTATACATACGAAATTGTAAATAAATTATTTAATAATCTTATTTAATATTTTTCATAATTTGTGGTGATTAAATTTTAGAGTTGGAAAGATAATATTAAAAAAATTACGGGATTCTTTTCAAGCTTGTTGATCTAAAACCAAATTTTATTTTAGAGAGACCAATATTTTTCTGTATAATCGAGCAAAGTTTTTCTCTTACTCGAAGGCCCAAAATTTTAAAATTTTAAAAACTAAAAAAAAATAAACAGGTTTTAATTTCCACATAAAAATTTGGTACTTTTATTTAATTAATTTTAATCACTTTATTTTATTATGTCTCCCTTTTTAGACTGATATATTTAAATATACATAAAACCTTTTTTTGTTTACTCGTCAAAAATTAAAAAAAATTTTTATTTAATCATTAAATTTAAATAATTTAATTATTTCATCAAAAATATATTTAAAAATACCATCAATGTAAGTTGTCAGAACTTGAACCACATTTTAAATACACCTTCGGGGGTCTAAAATATTTTTCTCATAAGGAGGGATTTATAAACACGAGTTCGATCCTCGGCGAGGTTCTTGGCAAGGGCCTCAAACTAGGATTTCGAGATCAGTAAAATTGGGGTCGATGATAAAAATCGACGAGCTGCTCGACGAGCCCTCAATCTACACTAGGCCTAACACTAAGCAAATAACAAAGCTTAAGAGAATATATTTCAAATTGATGTGATATAACTCTGTGGTTAACTAGAAATGATGTTCGACTGTTCATAATTATTAATTTTACTAAATTCAATTTAAAATTTTATTTTCTAGAAAAACTACAATGTTATTCCCAACAATATTTTTGTTTACCTATTTTATATCATTTTGTCATTCATCAACTGTAGAGGATTGTAACCAATTATACGCATATAAGGGAAAATACAATCCTAAAGACTGCGAGTAAATTAAATATATTTAATACATATACTAAAAATATTTTTTTAACTAGAAAGTGTCTTATAGACGCCGTACCTTGCAAAAATTCTCTAGTATATTCAAAAACATGTACGGATAATCCAAAAGAATTTAAAAGCGTAGCAAATTGTGAAGGAGTATATTCTGAATGTTCTACTGCCGAAGAAAATAGTTGTAAATCAAAACTGTGTGATTGTTTAAAGTAAAAATATTTTTTAAAGGAGAGGGCCAAATTCCCGACAGACATTCTTAATCTCTACAAATAACTAAAATAATTGATAAGCCACAGTCTCAACTCGATATTACGTACACCCAAACCTAAGTAAGGTTTTTAAATTTGCTCCAACTAGTGAATGAGATTGCTGCCTATATATCAGGGTTGGAGCTCGTGGCACAAAATACGAGATCTCTCAAAAAAGATCGAGATACGAGATATAAAATATTTATTGTTTTTCAAGATTATTCATGCATAAAATTGTAAAGCCAAAAATACATATAAGGGTTTGAATGGGTTATGATTACAGGTGATTATAAAGGGTAATGGAGATTTAGAGGATAAAGGGGATTTATTGAGATATCAGGGATTATGGAGAATATCATGGGATTTGGAAGGAAGATAAAAAGCATGAGATTTCACGAGATACAAGATACGAGACGAGCTCCACCCCTTCTATATATCCAATAATAATACATACTCACATACAATTTTTAAATAAAACTTCTCGGCTTTCGCTTACCGCTTATAGGCGACTAATGCTTTCTCTTTTCTCCACCCCACCCCCCCCCCCCCCCCCACCTAAGCTTTTTACATACTACTAGGTACTTAGATTGGGCTAAGTAGGACAAGTAAGAATCGTAGAGAAATCACGACTTGAATATAATTAAATTAAGAGCAATGATTGACTGTCTGGTTCAATGTGTACCGAAGAATACTTCAGCAACAAATAAAAGTAAGAAATAAATTAAATATTTTATTAAAAAACAAAAAAATTTTAAGAAGCTCGCTCACTTGGAGTTATTGCTGATTTTAGTACACTTATTGAAGAAAATTTTGGTGTAAAGATTACTGAATTGAAAAAAGAAGATTAGGCTTCATCAATTTGTAGGAGAAAAAGACAGAAAATCTTCAAAAATAAAAAAAATGATGGGAAATTTTTATTTAGAATTTATTAATCATCCAGAGTGACAGGAAATGTTTAGGGCACATTATTTATCTCCTAATCTTTATCCAAATTAAAGATAATTATATCAAATAAAGCTTCTTTCGAATTGATTCTCTGGCCAAACCAATTTGAGTGACGCTTTTTGCCATCGAAACCCGTTTTTGGGGTTTTTGCCATCAAAGCTCGTGGATTGGGGTATGCTCGGAATTTGGCCATGTTCACGTTCTCTGATTTGTTTATTGCTCGAGTTCATACAAATTTATAAAGTCAATAGTCCTGCCTACCACATTAAATACTTTTAAGAAAAATATTTCGATGAAAATTTCATACCGGATTTTTTAAAAGTTTTCTGGAGAGTGCTTTTTGAACATTGGGAGGACCAAAAATCTATTTGTTTAATATTAATATTTAATGTTTAAAAATTTTTGTTTAAAAAATTTTTTGAAGTTAAATAATTAAGATTGCCGTTTTTTGTCCATAGTTTTTATCGAGTCGTTTTGAGATATTCGAACTTGGGATTTTTCAAGCAAACCATTTTTTAGTGTGTTTTTCCCAGTCAAAACATACAACTTCCGTTAATTTATTATTATAATTAGAATTTTATATTTTGGAAATATTTTGAAAACTAAAATAGCCGAGTTTAATAAAAGTTACATTTAATAAATTGTGAAAAAAATAAACGGGTTTTAATTTCCAAATAAAAATTGCACTTATATAATAATAAATTTAAATTAAATTTATTAAATTTTTATTATTGTTTTAGTCTGACAATTTTTTGTTTAAATATAAAAATTTTTATCGCTTACTTGACAAAAAAATATAAAAATAATTATAATTATTAAATTTTACAATTTTAAATATTTAATCAAAATAAATTTTAATAAAATGCTAACAATGTAAGTAATTTATATTAGGGTTGTACCCCGAACGCTCGGGGGCGGGTATGTCGGGGTACGGGGTTTTCCAATTGTTTCGGGGCGGGGTTCGGGTCGGGGGAGTAAGATATGGCCGGGGTTCGGGTCGGGGTACGGGGGTTTAGTGGAAAAATTTTTAGAGAAAAAAATGCTCAAAAATAATTAGAAATCGATATATTTTCGTTGATTTATTCAAAAATTAAGTTGGATTTGAAGAAATTAGAGGGGATTTGAAGGGATTAAAGTGTATAACTTGGGATATAAGTGGATCTGGAGGGATTAAGTGGGATTTTTAGGGATTAAATGGTATATCTAGGGATACAAGGTGATCTGGAGTGATTTTTGTGGTTCAAGGGATATTAGTGATTTATAATGATATTGATGTAATACGAATAAGAGTATTTGGACGGATGTCAGGAGATATCTTCGATTAATCCACTAGTCTCCCACGAAATCCTTGTTAATTCCGTTAAATTCACGTAATCCTTTCAAATCCATTTTAATCTAAACCTTATATCCCTTTAAATCCTTTTAAATCCCTTTATAACTCCTTAATTCTTCGATATCCTACAAATCCCTTTATATCTCTGATTCCCGTTAACAGGACCTCGATAGTTTTCCAATGTTATGGTTGAGAACAGGTGATACAGGAGGTTTGAAGGATTAAGGGTGGTTCAAGGGATATCAGTTAAAAATAAAATTAATATTTTGAAATTACAATTTAACACGTTAATAATTTGTTTTTGTAAAGAATATAAAAACAAAAGCATTCTCCTTATATGGATCCGAACCAAACCCTCTATTAATGAAATATCGGCTAAAACAACGACTAAGCCACTCAACCACAAGTCTCTTAATAAAGAAGGAAAGAAAATTATGATATTTCATTCATTTTTCTTTCAAAAATAATAAAAGCAAAGTAAAATGGGTGGAAATTTTTTAAATTTTCTTCATTAATTTCTCCAAAAATGACATTTTTAGGGGTATAAAACCCCGATAACCCCGAAACATTTTGGGCCGGGGAACGGGGTTTTCACTTTTTTTCGGGGCGGGGTTCGGGTCGGGGAGAATCGTGAAAAAATCGTTCGGGAACGGGGTCGGGGTTCGGGGTACGGGGTCGGGGTACAACACTAATTTATATACATTCGAAGTTTTGGATATCCCCTTTGGGGTATCTAAAAATTTTACAATGCGTATTATGTTGAACAAGAGGTATCTGTCAGGAAGTTCAAGAAGCCTGTGTCTAAAATATTCTAAATTTATTTGATATAATTCTGGATATCTAAAAATGAGATACCGTATTTACTCAATTAATTCCCCTCCCTCGAATAATTCCCCTCTCTCGAATACTTCCCCTGCTATGGATGAGTTGAAATAATAATCCCCTCCTCCAAATACCCTACACGTTCAAATATCAAAATTCGAATACCTAATTCTCCATGTCACGGATGGGTTGAAAAAATAATTCGCCAGGGGAATTAATCGAGTAAATACGGTATGTACACCCGCTAATTATTAAGGTTCCGTGACTTTTGCGCCGAGAACATTTGCGCCGCGACTTATGCGCCGCGACTTTTGCGCCGCGACTTATGCGCCGAGCGACTTTTGCGCCGGGGGACTTTTGCGCCGCGACTTTTGCGCCGGGCGACGTTTGCGCCGCGACTTTTGCGCCGGACGACTTTTGCGCCGCCACTATCATCAATAATTATGAAAAACTACAACAGGACCTCACTATAGAAGACTTAGGATAGTTGGAGATCTTCGGATATCAAGATCCGGATCCGATATCCGACCTAAAATTTACAGCTATCCGGCCTTTTTCAGATCCGAATATCTGGACCCGACAACCCTACACTATAGTGCACCTCTTCTGGCAGAAAATTATGCCTGAATAGGGGTAGCAGACCAAATATCCTGATTTGAAAATGTAAGTTCTTTGATGACCCGGGTCGGTTTATTTTTCAACCTTCCTCTAGGGGGTCGGTTTATTAGAGGGGGTTATTGTACTTCCCGAAATATTGTACTTCCTGAAATTCCTTCAGCTCTTGGATACATTTTTGAGTACACTGGTCCGACTGTAGATATTATTTTTTTAAAATTATGGCGGCGCAAATGTCGCGGCGCATAAGTCGCCCGGCGCATATGTCGCGGCGCATAAGTCGCCCGGCGCATATGTCGCGGCGCATAAGTCGCGGCGCAAATGTTCTCGGCGCAAAAGTCGTGATACCATTATTAATATTACTTACTAAAATTTAATTCAAAATTTTTATTTTTTAGAAGAACAATGTTATTGTTAACAATATTTTTGTTCATTCATTTCATATCATTTTGTGATTCATCATTTTTAGAGGAATGTAGCCAAGTATACGAATCATACAATAAATGCAATTTAAATGAATGCAAGTAAATAATTTAATGTACAAGATATATTAAAGAATATTTTCTTTAAAAAAGGTGTATCCAAGACGTGATAACTTGTACTGATTCCCTGATAGCTCTACAAACATGTAGAGATGATGTAAAAGTATTTAAAAGTTTAGAGTGTGAAATAGTTAATTCTCAATGTTCTAATGCTGATAAGAATTGCTGTCTAGATGGAGTGTGTGGATGCTATAAGTAAGAAAATTTTTACATTTTCTTATCATTCTCAAGTTTTTTAAACAAAAATCTCAAACATTTTACATACATCCAAAATTATATACCCATCTTTATTACATTATAATAAAAGTGCTGCTCAAATCTCCAATTGAGACACACCCGATTTTATATCAACTATTTGGATCCATCCGATTATCTCCCCACCCCCACCCCCCCCCCCCATTCTTCTTTGCTATTCCTTCCTTTCTCCTTTAAAAAATGGTAAGAATTAAATATGGTAAAGATAATCGGTGGGATAAGTAGGGTTGAGCGGGATCGGGATCACGGTCGGGATCGGGCGGGATTATCCCGGTTTTTTTGAATCCGATCCCGATTTTTCTGATCCCGAGCCCGAAATATATATCCCGATCCCAATTTCGGCCAATCCCGATCCCAAACCGGGATTAGCAATCAGATCCCGATGCAAATCCCGATTTTATAAATATGCGAGAATATTAGTGGAACGATATATTTCGGTGAAAGAAAGGAAGGTGTGAGAAGAAAAGAAAGAGAGTTTTCTTCGCCTGCGGCGCAGAAAAGGAAGATTTTTGGCTTAAGAATCTTCCAAAATTTTCAAAATTTTTGCCTGCGGCGATGAAGAAGAATTAGTCTGGCATAAGGAAATATATGAATTGACTTTTTTCTAAGAAATGAAAGAAATCTGTCTCTTGACCTTCCAGAATTCTAAAAAATTTTCGTTTGCTTCGTTGAAAATATAAGAAATTTGGCTTCATGACCTTCCAAAATTTTAAAATTTTCGCCTGCGGCGCTGAAAAATGAATATTTTTGCCTTAAGGATCTTCTAAAATTCTACGTAACCTTTTCGAAGATAACCCTAAGCCGACTAAATATATCTCAATTAATATCCTAAAATAAACTCGAACTTGGGTTTTCAAGCTCGACGTACTCTAATGAAAATAACAAAATTTAAGCGTGGTATCATTCCTAATTCGTCAAGACAAAATTTCGACACTCCTCATTCCTAAAAATTTTCGGTTCGGTCCCGGACATACGAAAAGTTTTGGTTCGGTTTCGGATATCCGAAGAATTTCAGGAACCGACAACCCTAGTAAGGAATATCAAGTCACAAGAATATTCAGCATAGGAGGTGAAAATTTTGAAATTATATTGAGGAACTTAAAATTTATGATGGAAATAAAAATTCAAAATTTTAAAAAAATTTTTAATCACGATCCCGATTTTTCAATCCCGGTCCCGATTTTAGGTCGGAATCCCGATCCCGCTCAACTCTACTTAGGAGAATGGGGAAAAAGGAAGGAAAATGGGGAACTAAGCAGATAGTACCAACATTTTAGCCCAAACAATTAGGATATCGTTGAAATTACCGAAACTTAAATATACTAAAATTAAGAAC